CGACAAGCATGGTTCCACCGAGGACATCAAGATCATAATATCGTCCTCTAACCTTGGTGCGTGACAATGTGGTTCCAAGAGGCTGAGCTCCAATCTCGGTACCAGTGCACGAGAAGAAGCCAGAGTCCGCGTACATCATATCCACGTCTTCGCTTTCATCGATCCATGCAGTCAATGGTGATCGTGTAGGTACCATCTTGAACTCGATAGGAGGATCCCACCGTTTTCCAACTGCCTCGTTGAGGTAAGTCTCGAAGGTAAGATTGAACGCTTGAACGGTAGTCTCGATGTCATCGGGTGCATAGATGCCGATGTGGTAGACCTTCTTTTGTGTGAGCTCGTTGAATTGACGATACCCTTGAGCGCAGTCCAGCTGTCCATTCGGCCACTGCGCAAGTTCCGACATGCTGGTATTATTTGAGTCTTTTTGGAGTTGAGGAGGAGCGTCCCAGCCAATTTGAGGTGTACTTTCGTTGAGCGGTGTAAGCACATCTAGGGGCGCAAGCGTATCATTGTAAAGAGCAACTACTTGGCTGACGGAAACCATTAGCACCACGAAAGTGCAGGCAATGGGTGCACATCGCGTTGATTTTTTCATTTTTGCTGTATTTTTCGCGTGAAACTATGATTTATGTGGCCTCTTATTACGTTTCGGAGTGATAATACGCCCTTGTGACCGTAGGCTTTATTGGTGGAGGTAGAACGAAAACACTTTCTTTTCTGTTCTTGATGCCCCGTCAGCAGCATTTCATAGAAGAGTAGAAGTCTCACGGTTACTGACGCACGTGTTTGTGTGATACTCGTTATATTATAATATTACATATTTAATTAGAATTAAAAAAGCATGTAGAACCGAGGATAGAACTGCGGCTTTATTTCCACAGCATCATTTCCGCAGCATGATTTTTTGAATGGCGATGGCTAACACTATCTAGTAGATACCGGTACGGGTACTGTATATGGTAAACGTGTACCTGGTTCCGCTTCGGTCGGTATATACCGGTACATACTGTACATCACCGGCGTTTGATGATGCAATCAAACACCTTTCTTTCAACAGCCTACTTTACCGCACCGGGTACCTACTACTACAGTAAAGAGTCACTGCACCCATTTGGAAGCTATCACCTTTGTAAATTCTGCTACCGGTATACCGGTACAATACAATCACAGAAAAGGCTGAGTGGTATAATGTGCTTTCTTCTAGAATCGAAAGGAAAAAGTGTGGCTTTGCAAGTCGATCTCTGCCCAGTGGTGCCTTCCTAGTGAACTACAGTACGAGCTATTATTGGGAAAACATGCCGATCAAGAATGAACCCATTATTTAGTTTCGCATACGTGCTTCATCGTGAGAAGGACCATCCGACAGGGAGTTCCTTCTGATTTGGTTTGGAGGCAAGTCTCTGTGAGGCGCTTCCTTTGTTGCTTCTGGTGGAGTTTCTATCTCTTTCTTGGAGTCTTGTGTTCTTGAAGTCTCTAAATCAAGTGCATTCGTTGCAAAACGGCCCAATCGTGGCGATGGAGTCAAAAGGCTTCCAGGTATTGGCGATGGAGTCACAATGTCGCCGGCAAAATTCACCATAGGTTGGCCTTTGAAGTTGGGAGTCCTTCTTGCAGATGGCCTTTCTCCGACCCAATACGTGACCATATTGCCCTTGCCTTTCACAGCGACCTTGCCCCTCCTCCGCAATGGCAAATCAGGAGCTTGTTCGTGCAACATCTTGGCCGCAGGCTCGGAGCATTGAATCTTGTCGCTCAGGGACAAAGACTCCATCCTGGATGCAGTATTCACCGTGTCTCCGAAGAGCCCATACCTCGGATTCAACGACCCAATCACATTACTGACTACTGATCCAGAATGAAAACCAACACGAATGTGGACATAACCTCCATTAGGATCATCTTCGTCGA